AGAAGAAGCCACAGGATTAAATGAAAAAAGAGAAAAGTAGTCAAGAAAACGACAAAGTTCAAGAATAAAGCCAAGTGCACAGGCACTAAGTAAGTATGTGAAGAACAAGAAAGTAATGAACCAGATGTGATGCTAGCAACAGAAAGCGGATATGACAAAGAACAGTTCCAGGCATTTTAGCAATAAGAAATCAAAAACTTGAAGACAGACGAAAACAGAAGGCCACAGATGGAAAATAAATAGATTCAAAGTAAATCAGAAGAGTTTTGAAAGATTGAGCTTAATAAAAAGTAAGAATTTATGAACCTACCAAATGAACGCCGATATGAAGATTGCCGAAGTCAAATAGATGACTGGAAGTCAGGAACCCACCAGAGAATGTGAGTGGAGCAGTTGTAAAGCTCTTGGAGTTTACGAAGTAATGGAACAAAAATCTCGACTAGGAGGTGTGATCTCGAGCAGCTTGGAAAGCATGAAGCTTGATACTTGACAGAAGTGGACAGTAAAGTCCAGGGAACTTTGAGATCGGCGAGTTTGATCTCGGACAGAGGGGCACAGATGAACGAATAGTGTAGGTTTCATCACCTCAGAGTGCCGAGGTAATAGAACCTAAGGGGGCAGTTGTGGGGATATATTTTCTGAGTACCAACACGTGGCAAGGTGACGCCGACATGTCAGCCGAGGTGCCACGTGTCTTGGTCGCTTATATTTAAGTTGCAGGTCAGTCAGGTGCCATCTATTCTTCCAGTGCTCTCTAGCTGGTTACTAAGCGGGCAGTGTGATCGGAAAATCACCCACACAATACACATGCTATTGCCATACAAGTGGATAATAAATAATTTACATCTAGACTATTCATAACAGATTAAGGATGCAATTGGGAGAAAAGAAAAAAAGGCAGCAAGTGTGTTGGAAGCTTGTGTCGACGAGAAAAGTGACTGCAGTGGCCAACCAAAATTGTAAAAAATAATAAATAAAAAATAAAAATTTGGTTTAAAACAACAGCTATATCTGCCACAACCTCAAGTGTTCATCTCATTGTGAGAGGAAAGTGGTATCAATTTCAAATCAGCAATGCTAGGTATCATGAAAAGTCTTTCATGAAAATGGTCATGAAAGATTTGTGACCTTTGGATTACACTTACAATAAAACACCACACACTAATCAAGGTAATCTATTCTTATATTTAAGTTGCAGGTCAGTCAGGTGCCATCTATTCTTCCAGTGCTCTCTAGCTGGTTACTAAGCGGGCAGTGTGATCGGAAAATCACCCACACAATACACATGCTATTGCCATACAAGTGGATAATAAATAATTTACATCTAGACTATTCATAACAGATTAAGGATGCAATTGGGAGAAAAGAAAAAAAGGCAGCAAGTGTGTTGGAAGCTTGTGTCGACGAGAAAAGTGACTGCAGTGGCCAACCAAAATTGTAAAAAATAATAAATAAAAAATAAAAATTTGGTTTAAAACAACAGCTATATCTGCCACAACCTCAAGTGTTCATCTCATTGTGAGAGGAAAGTGGTATCAATTTCAAATCAGCAATGCTAGGTATCATGAGAAGTCTTTCATGAAAATGGTCATGAAAGATTTGTGACCTTTGGATTACACTTACAATAAAGCACCACACACTAATCAAGGTAATCTAAGGGTCACAAATTTTTCATGACCCTTTTCATGACAAAATTTTCATAATCTCTAACATTTCTCATTTCCAATATATACCAGAGCATCGTTCAATATGAGGTTGGAAACATAACCCTTGGTCATTTCCTATTGGCTGGGAAGTTGGTGGTGCTCTCCTTTTTGATACTCAAGCTTGTGAGTTTAGTACTTGATTATCTTTGAGAGATATACTGACTTGATCGTCGGAGTGCCCCCGGGTGGTCGAAACCACCGCGGGATTCTTATATTTCTGTTACAGGTCAGTCAGGGGCCATCTATTCTGCCAGTGCTCTCCAGCTGGTTACTAAGCGGGCAGTGTGGTCAGAAAATCACCCACACAATAGACATTGTCAAATATTTTCAAAGTTCACATATTTTTGGAGGTCTACAACTAGAAATAGACTTTTAGAGTTGTTTATAATTGTTAGAACAATCCTATCTAAAAACATTAAAAAAAAGAAAAAAAAAAAGAAAAAGAAAAAAATGAGTTGTTTATAATTTATTTATGAGGTATTCAATTAAATATGTAATTTATTGACGAAGATTTTGAAATTTAATCTGAAATTGAAAGCCTTAATGATTTAAGAAACCAAAATTAAGGATGAAAATAAGTTTGATTTAATATTTGGAGCCTTCTAAGAGTCTGATTAAAAATTTGATTCAAAATGATAAATTTAAATATATTAATTGGGCCTTAATGAAAGTCAAATCTATTTTATTTTGTTTTGTTTTATCTTTTATACTGTTTTGATTTTTGTAATCAAACAGTCTCTCTCCTCTTTTTAATTATTCAAATACAGTGAAAATTGTTCAACAAAAATAATATTCGAACAACAAGAGTGTTACTAACATAAAAATCAACAAGATTATAAATTCAGAATTTGCTCAGAAATAAGAATTAATGGTTCAAATTAATTTTACTTGTGTACCCTATATTTCATTAATTTAATATGCACCACACATATCTATTCTGGGTAAATTATGAGTTACTAATTTTAAGACCTTAGCTTTTTTGCATAAAAATTTAATGAATTGGGTTTTCTTATTTTTACATTTTAATATGATGAAATTTGAGGGGTCCTGGAAGTTATCACGAGTCCCGTTTTGATAATATCAATCGTTCGTTTCGTATGGTTATCAATTTATATTATTTTTGAAAAAAATAGTTTAATCTAACAATGTAACATTTTTATTTTATCACATTTGTTTTCAAAAAATGAATGACAAATATATTTTTTTTTAATAATAAACCATCTAATTTTTTATATACAAATACGATAAAATAAAAAATTAATGGTTATGATTATCAAATCAAATTAATTTTTTCTATATATGAAATAAATTGATTTTTTTTTTAAATAGACAATTCAAATAATCAAAATGAGACTAAGGGGTTGTTTGGAGTGTCCTAAATAAGTGCACTTTTTGTCTTTTTGAAATAAAAAGTTGAGGAAGAAAAGATGTATATTTGGGTTAACTTTTGGTGTTTTTATAAAAAAAATGTGTAATAAAAAATTGTATAAATAAAATATATAGTGGAAGAAAGGTGATTGATTGTACAGCTGCTTGCGGCTGCCCCAGCATGTCTACACAGAAAAATAATCTACTCCTTCGGGGCAAATAACTTTTGGACAGTGATGGCCGGTCCATGGCGGCCACCATGGGTCTCGTTTTAATAATCTGAACCGTTCAATATGTACAATTTGTCGATTATTATATGCCTATAAAAAATCACGTTGATCGGATATTGATAGCTATATAATCGGATTAGTTTTTTCCAACAGTTAACCATCACATCATTTGTTTTGTTTATACAAAACTGATTTGATCATATAGTTAACGATATCCGATCAACGTGATTTTTTCTGAGCATATATTATTCGACGGGTTCTACACATTAAGCGGTTCAAATTATCAAAACGGGACTCGCGATGGCCCCCACGGGCTAAACAACAGTGTGTAAAAATTACACACAAACTGTGCAATTATTCTTAACAAACGCGCGCCAATTTTGTCATGATTGCTGAGTTATATAGATGTGTAGAAAATTAATTTTTTAATATTTTTTTTGATAAATAATAGTAAACTTTCCGAACCCTTTTAACTCCCTTCGTGTTACAATGTGAACAGGAGGGAAATACAATCCAAAATGTAATTCCTAAAATAATAAATCACAAACAATCACACAACTGTGCATTTCATACTGTGTGTGGAGCTCATAATTATGTGATTATCATTCATTCAAATTGTTAGTATTTTTTTAGAGTAATAAAATAGCTTATCTGGCAATTAAGGTGTAATTTTTGTATTGAGAATCATTCGTTGAAAAACTGTTCTATGAAAAAATAAAAAAATAAAAAATAAATAAATAGAACGTGTCAATCACAACGGTAGGCTGGAATTTTCATTATTAACGAACAAGTATTAGTACCGTTCCTTCCCTCAACGTTCCACTCAGATTTGACCTGGCCAATGATTTCCAGTCAAGACACCTTTTCTAAATAAATAATAATAATTTTATACCTATTAACAATTTTATTAAGGTCAAGTTTGGTTAACCTAAAAAAGTGTACTTATTTCATCTTTTTATCTTTTTTTAGTCACATCAATCAACATCTTCTCTCTATTTTTTCTACACATAATACAAAAAAAGTCAAAAAGTGCACTTATTTAGTCTTCCCAAACAACCCAAAGAATATTGTTAAGAATATTAAATTTTTTAGCAAGTAAATGATTAAAGGTCTTATATGAACTAACATTTAAATGAGATATTTAATCATTCATTTGATAGAAAATTTAGAACCTATATAATATTTGATCATGTATGTTTTTAATAACATTATTAATAAGAATTTAAATAGATATAAAATTACTCATATTTCAATGAGTCCATGAGTGTGTCTCACACTATAAGAGATAATTTTTTGATTTTTTTAATTTTTTTAAATCACATTATATTTCTAATTTTTTACAATCTTTCAAAAAAGAACCAAAAAAATTAATTAATTAATTAATTAATTTACTTCCCAAAATAAATCTCAGGGAAAATATTAATAAAACTTTGATATCCTAGCATTTTTCATTAAGCAATGCTTAGTCCGCAAACTTAAATTAATATTTTTTCTCGACCTAATCGTCCTTAAACCCTCAACGCTATCCCTCCCACCATCACTATATATATGACTGCTATTCTCTGTTGCTTCATATCAAATCCCAATTCTCAGTTTCTCTGAAATTCTATAAAAACTCTCACAGTTTTTCTCTATATTCTAACCTTTCTCATTCTTATATTTTCGAACAGAAAGAGAGTGAAAAAGACAATAATTAATGGCTTTCTCGAGCGCAGTAGTGTTGGTGTTGATGTTCGCTATGGTTGCCGGATCTGTCTTCGCACAGGCTCCAGGATCATCACTGGTGAAGTCTCCGGTAGCATCGCCTCTGAAGACGGTGGCGACTCCTTCTCCAACTCCGTCTCCCTCAATGAAGGCACCGACCACCGCTCCTACTTCCGCCCCTACCACCGCACCACCGACCTCTACTCCAGTTGCTCCTCGCACCGCTCCTGCCTCCGCTCCCTCCGGCGGCGCCGTTCCTCCATCCACGATCTCAGCTCCCGGCCAGTCTCCTTCCTCCACTCCTTCTAGCACTGGCGCTTCGAACAGAGTCACTGTTGCTGGATCCGCTGTGGTGGTTCTCTTCGCAGCTGCTTTGTTGATTTAGATCTGATCTAAAGTTTCCTCGTTTCGCCGTGAAGATTTTGTGTTTTTTCAGTAGATATTTTTCTTAGGTCTATTTTAATTTAATTTTTTGGATTGACTTGGCGGTGACCGTGGCTGTGAGGTTGATAGATATTATCAAATTCTTCTTTTTACAGTTATTTAATATTTGTTGATTCTTTGATATTATTTATAATAAATGACAATTTATTCATAAATTATATTTTTGTTATTTTTTATTATATATTTTATATTTTATGATTATACAAAATTAGCCAAAATTATTAATATGTTACAAATTCAAATTATGCATTTTTAACATGAAACTCATATTTAAAGATTGTTAATCAGGTTCTTTTTAACAAATAAAGTAGGTTCGCAATATTGCTTACTTTTTAAGTGTTTTAGAGAGTTGGTAAAAAATTAAGATTTTTTGGCTTTTTTAGTCTATTTTATTTTTTTGTAGATAAAAAATGTTAAAGATAATGTGATCCAAATAGATGAAAAGCTAAAAGCTAAAAGCTGACTTTTTTGGAGCTTCCCAAAAGACCCCTTTGTCTTTTCCTTTATTGATGTGTAATCGTATGTATTCATGTCTATTATTATCAATAATTTTTTTTGCTAATAAAAAACAAATAAATAAATAAAGTAAAACAAAAAAATAAACTAACATCATGAAAAATATATATATATATATATATATTAACCAATTAATCCTAAAACATGTATATATATTGTAAAACAAACAAATAATATGAAAAAATACATATATCAACCAATCTAATCATGAAATAGACAACAAACACTCCAGAAATGAAAAAAAAAAATTGGAAAAACTAGTGAGAGAAATCTTCAAGCAAGCTCAAAACATAAGTGCTTGTTCAAAAAAAAAAAAAAAGACACAATAAAGGTCACCACCAACAACTCAAGAACACGGGAGAGAGAGAGATTGAATTAATAATAATCTATGAAAAATCGCATATTATGAATCTCCTGAGAATGGAAGGTTGGGATTCAAAGATTATTTAGCCTCTCATCACTTTATAAAAAGTCCAATTTAATATTCAAAAATGTTAGAGATTCCACATAGTGTGAATCCCACACCATATGAGACATTTGTTAGAAATTTTAGAGTATCTAACATTATTCTTTAATATCACCATACTAGTAATCTCATCTCATAATTCCATCTCTTAGGGTCTCTAAACGCAACCATGGAGTCTTAGAGAGAGAAGGAAAAAAAAAATTACTAGTGAAGTTTTGCAAAATTAGGCCACAGAAAGATTCAATCAAGTGATTAATTTTTGTGAGAATTGGTGGAAGTTTTAAAAACTGTAATTTTTTTTTTCAAAATTCAAATCTCAAAGCTATTAAGGGAGTTTTTTTTGTAATTATACAATTTAATTGGCCCTTAAACATAATTAATTATTCTTAATCCACATTAACAATTGTTGGCTACATATTTTGTGCTAGCCAGTGACAATTCGACGCGTGGCAAAGTAAGGGTAATATGGGGAGACCAGGCAGGTCTTCGATCCTGATCATATACGTGGCAGTTAATATTGGCTGTTATAAGATCTAAGTAGTAGCGGATCAACAAAGAGATGTACGGTGACGTGGCTTCAACGGTTGCTCACATTCAAATTCGAATATAGGAGGGAAGCCTAACTACATGTGAAGGCGTAGTGGAACTACTTATAAGGTAGCATGATCAGCGATCACGGAGGAGCAGTTCAACGGTTTGAAGTACAGTTCGATGGTTATCTTCGGAGAGTATAAATAGCAGGAAGGACTTTAGAGATGAGGACGAGAAAAAATCTAAAGAAAACCAGCCTTACTTTACATATTCCAGTTTTATTTCCTGTTCTTTATATTTTTGTACTTTAAGTTCCTGCGCTGCACTTCATTTGTAGGAGTAGTTTTCGAGTATATTGCCGCTGTAAATCTCTACGGAACTAAGATCATTGTAAGTTTTTCATACTAATGAAATGCTTCAGTTTATTTAACTGTTCTTATGCTCAAGTTCTCTGAAGTCAAATTACCAGTAAGCCACCAGTAAAAGTCCTCTTTATTGAGGCTAAAAGAACCATAACACAATCGCCTGAATAATTGTTTGGCAATTACAATTCTGTAAGGACTGATTGATCCTTACTAGCACGCTCATAACTACAAAAATAACCTTCGAAAGCCAAAAAGCCAACATATATTTTTGGCATGCCCGGTGGGACACTTTAAAAATGGCTAGACGTAGGAGAGAATGAGAAAACGAACGATTGGAAGAAGGCGTGGAAGGCGAGGTGGAGACATCCAATCCAGAGGATAATGTGATAACACATCCTGTGGAGACTCCTATCTTATCAGAACCCATGGTCGAACAGACCAATACTTCAGAGCAAATACCATTTGTTCGTAATAGTGGACGAGACCAAGGAATTGGACCATCCAGTGTCCCATCTACTCAGCCAGTCAATCCGTGGGGTGGCTTAGTAGATGCTATGGGACAGCAATTAATAAACACAATGGAAAGGTGGGCAGTATCCTTTTTGGATCGAATGAATAACCACCAACCAACAAATGTAAGACACATGGAGGAAGTAAATGTCCCTCAGCAAAGATTGGCTAGAGATAAACAGCCTATGCAAGCTAATGGACATTCCAATGGTCAAACTAGTAATCAGATTCATGAAAGATTACCACCTCAGTCTTGGTACGAACCCATTTCGAGGCCTGCGGCAGGCCAGAATGCCTCAATGTTTAACAGTGAAGCCATGCAAATTGGTGGATCTGGCCCAGTACAAGAAAATGGCATAAGAATGGTTCCAAATCCCACATTCGAAGCCATACCTGGCACTAGGGGGTACAATAATCCCTTATTCGAATTTATACACGGGGGGTTGGAAGGCTTCCCTGCAAGTGGAACGGATACAATACCTGTTCCAACACCTTTCGTGGGTCCTTTCGTAGGACATGCTCAAAGAGGTTACTTACACCCCCAACAGCAACCTGTACCACAGGGACAACCAGTCCCAAATGTACCACCTTATGGACCAAGGGGACCACAAGCACAAGTTTGTCCACCAAATCCTGTGTTTGTTCCCCCAGTAGTGGTTCAGTAGGCACAAAATATGGTCCCTAGGGACCAAATTACTGAGATAGTTAGGGAGTTGTGTGGACCAATGGCTCGGGGGGTCCAAACTCCTGTGTATAGAAAATCATACCCAGAATGGGTCGATAGGGTACATGAATATCCAAGAAGTTTCAGGATACCAGATTTTGTCCTTTTTCATGGGAACGGAAACCAATCAACAGTAGAGCATATTGCTAGGTTTTCCACTCAATGTGGTGAATTTACCAATCATGACTATATGAAATTGAGACTATTCCCGAATTCTCTAATTGGAGGAGCGTTTGTATGGTACATTAACCTTCCACCTGGCTCCATCCAGACTTGGCAACAAATGAAAGAGGCATTTCATGCCCAATTCTTCCAATCTGAGCCAGAAGTTTCCATGGCAGACTTGGCAAGATTGAGTCAAAGGCCTGAAGAGAAGGCTACTCAGTTTATTTCCAGATTTAAGAGGGCTCGAAATAAATGTAGAGTAATCTTGCCAGAAACGGAATTCGTAAGATTGGCCCAAAATGGCTTAGAGTTCAGGCTTCGAAAGAAGTTTGATTCAACAGAGTTCAGGGATTTAGTGGAACTGACTTACAAAGTATCTAGATATGAAGCATTACTAGAAGAGGAACAGGATCGAAATAATGCATCATATAGGACATACTACAAAGATCCTAATTATGAGATTGATGCAGCAGAGATTGTGGGAAAAGAGCCTATGATCTGTGAAGCATTAATTCATAAAGATACGACAATTGACCAGCAGTTTAAAAAGAAAGATCTCCACAGGAAATATTCTTTCGATTTAACTAAGGCAGATGACATTTTTGATCATTTGCTTGCGGCCAACTTCCTTAAGTTACCAAAAGGGGCTAAATTCCATCCCTTGATGAACTTAAAGGAAAAATATATTGTAAATGGCATAATTCTTGGTCTCACTCGACTAAAAACTGTGTTGTTTTTCGAGACAGGATCCAAGAACAAATTCGGAAATGGAGTTTAAAGTTCCCAGCCAAAGTTGAAAAAGCCATGGGGATCGATAGCAATCCATTTCCAGAAATTGGAGAGGTGGCAGCCAATGTCATTATGTCAGACTTTCAGAACCTGTGTTTGAAAGAATTGGAAGAAGTCAATGTACAGATGCATGTGGCCAACCAGACAGCAACCAAAAAAGACAATAGGAATCCACCAGCTGTTGGACGAGATTTCTCACATCAGAGGGAAGACTCTGATGAAGAAGCACTGGATGATGACTCCTTAGAGGCAGCCGTAATGCAAAAGATGTGTCCCAGGTGCAGACTGAGTTATAAGTGGTTGAAAGGCCTTCCAATTGATGTGAAGCAGTATTACAGGGATGTGCAGAGGCGTCCCAAACCAACCAATGCTTATAATAAAAGGCCGTATCCGGCTAATGTTAGGCGGCAACCATTAGTGGTTGAGCCTGCAGTTGATAGAATGCATGCTAAAGGCAAGAGGCCCTTATATGAGGCCAGGTCACCTAACTATTACAGGATGGAGAGTAGTCATTCTGAAAGAAGACAGGAGAAGAGTTCAGGTTTTAGGATCAAAGCCAGGAATTGGCCCCCTGGGCCAGCTTCACGAAGGACAGAGAATGATCACCATCATCGAGAGCCTGAATCAGGCTCAAAGCTTGGAGACAGGGCCAAACAATTGTCTTCACAGCCAGCCTCGAAGGTGACCTCGAAAGAAGAAAGAGGTAGTTCAACGTCTGCGTCAGTAAGTTCATGGGTGCCTGGAGTCCCAGATTGGTTTGTGATGCAAAACAAACCTAGGGAAATGCCTACCCAAAGGAATGTTGGAAATCAAAGTAGGATGGTTAAGCCTCCTTTGGTGGCCCCCAACAACTGGGTATTGCTGAAACACCCAAG